CAGCAGCCTTCGGCGGGACCTCTCACCGGAGGGCCTTTAGATTGCACTGGAAAAGCAATCACATGTCATTTTGTAGCTTAGGTTTTGTAACTGGGAGCTGCGAACTTATCGTTCTATCTATCTACATCTGCATATATTGGATTGCACGACAAAACACCTCCATGAGATAAGGTTCTCAGACGCGCGCGCGCGCCGATCTTTTCTTTTCACCCAAGGTCCGGACTCCGGGAGGTGCGGGCGGTGCACCGCGGCGGAGCTCGCAACGACGTTCATTGACGGCATTTACGCAGGGTTATGGGCGCGTCGCGGCCCCCGAGCTAAGCTCATCGAATACCCTGCCCAGTTGCCCACCGAGTTCTCGGCGCATCTACAGATCAACAGACTTTGGGAGTCGGTCATGTTGCGAAAGAGCATAAGCATCAATAGTTGGTGATGATGGGGTCTCGTTCGAGCGCTGCGTATCTTGAACGTGACCGTCCTCACACTTGACCTACTAGGTTGGCTCGGCCCTCTGCAGGGTCAGTGAGATCAGAGACAGGATTCTGAGGCGGGGCTTTGGTTTTCATTTGGTTGGCTCAAGGCTACGCGTTTTGCCACATGGTATGACAATAACCTTGATTTGCAAAAGAAGAAAATTATGAACGAAGCCTGAATGATGTGCGGCCATCCCAGATTACGACTTAGCCACGAACAGCTTTGTCGAAACCTGCGCTGTCAGAAGGTCTATTCCCGTCTGGGCAGTCGGACCGAATGAAAGCACAGCTGGCGCAGTCATTCGTTTATCCTGCAATTGTACTGGAATGGGTGGAGAATGACTTGGGCTATCTATTGCAATGCTCAGAACTAGCAAAGAACAACAATCAACAAGCCCATCGCATACGGTGGTGCAGTCAGAGCAAGGGAATTAGTCGCTCAATCTCCGAGATGATAGCTTCGTGGGACATCGTCCCGGACGGACCCCACAATTCCCCCAGCTTGGCCTCTTCCGCAGCCAACTTCAAATTATAGAACTGGTTATCAAGACCACAATGGTGTCGCAAGATATCGACCAGTTGCTTGATGTTCGTCCATCGATGTGCGCAGCCTTCGAGTACAGATTCGTAAGGTTCGTCCTTGCGAAGCCTATCTTTGATAGCATAGACTAGGTGCGCTTCTGGCCGATTCCAGTCCCGCCAGATGGTTTCACCCTTTGGCGTCATGACAAGCTCTTCATTGTTGCCCTGGTAAGGCTCGCGGAACGAAACTTCCATCACGACGTAAAAAAGCGACTCGATGTCGTGCCATCGTTCGTGGACAACACCGAGCCGCTCATTCGGTTGGGCGAGGATCGAGCAGGCGAGGTAGGGCCAGGTGCCCTGTAAGACGTCGTATAGTCCAAAGATTAGTGCTTCTCGGAAACTTCATTCGGATAAACATACAGAGGGGAGGACGCACGGATCGTATTCTGTGGTGCAGCTCGGTGCAAGGCCGATCATGAGGGACGGCAAGGTGATAGTCGATAAGGACGCCGACACCGTCGCGGTCGATGACGGCGTTACCGTACGAAATATCCCGGTGGATATACCCCAGCCTGTAGAGGTTTCGGTGTCCTGCATTGTCATGGGAACGGGCGTGTCGGCTAGGGAGCGCAAACGCAAGGCCGCCCAGTTGATCCCCGTGCTCACCTGTGACGACTCCAAGTACGGCCTGGGCGAGTTCCCTGGTCGTGGTCGCCGTGTTAAGGGGCCGATAACACTGACGGTGGAAGACCACCTCGAGTGCCCGGGGCTCGATATCATCGAAACTTTCATCGTCGCCGAAGAAGGTCGGAAGCGTGCGGAAGTCGTCACGGCAAGGAAGACGAGCGGGAATGTGGGATGTTGAGGTGCCATGAGGTGAAACGTAGCGCTCAGTGGTGTGGACGGATGACTCAACGAGCCAGATCACGCGGGCCGGCGATTGAGTGCGTCGCGGCGCGGTCCAGACGGGGTGATAGTGCTTGAGGCAATGCGGGTCTCCCATCTCGACATCGACGCACTCTGGCGAGAGGTACCGAGAGATAGTGATCTGCGGGCTCGAATGCGGGCGTGCGAGCTTGTAAGCATCGCGGCGAAGTTCCGTTCGAAGGAGCGCTCCTAGTCCGGGTCGTTCGTGACCAACAATCTACACTGTGCAGTGACGCGACAGATCTTGATCGCATCAGCAAAAAGTGCAAGTCGCAAGCGAGGGCTCCGATTGGATGGCTCACTGTGCACTGTGGGCGGTCTGAGCCCGTCGTCGGTGGTCGAGCACGTGGTCCTGTCGCGACGGCTGTCAGAAAGGAAGGGCTGTCGATGTTCGAAGTATGGTTGAGTTAGAGCTCGAGTTGACCGAGCGAGTTGGAGTGGCGATTCGGGCAGGGTGGGCACATCGAGGCGGACCCATGTCAGTTGGTGCTTGATCGTCCATCGAGTAGTGCTTGATCGTCGCTTCGGTATAACCGAAGCAAGTTGCCTGAGAGATGGACGGGTCCAGCTGATCATCGGAGTGCCGAACGGTTCGAGCCGAGACGAAGCTGCTCGATGAAATGGCTCGAGTGCCGAGCCAGCCAAAAAGAGCGCCGAAGAGTCAAGCTGATCCCAAGAAAATGACAGAACTCGGTTCGAGCAAAGTCATATTGGCGATCGTAGGATTGAATCACAAGCTCGTGGCATGGGGTGGGGGCGATGTTTGAGCAAGTCGGTGCGAAGCTGAGGATGGGCGACGTGCGAGTCGGATCTAAATGTCGGGGAAATGCTGTGAAACACAGATGAGTGTTTGTAAAAGCGTCAGTATTGAAGGGACTCGAGACGATGGAGACCCGGGTTGGAGAGGAGAGCATACCAGACTGGGGTCCTGATTGATCGAGTTGACCCGCCGGTGTGGATGCGAAGATCACGGGATAGTGTCGAGCTGGGTGCGGCCCGACACAGAACAAGATGAGGTGAGGTGAATTGCCAGATGATTCGAGAATGGGGCAATCGTGGGGTCGGCGCTCATGATGAGTAGATCAGGTCAGTTGATAACAATGAGTCTATGGCGATCGAGCACGAGTACGGTGGAAGGTCGACGGTTGAGGCGGTCGAGGAAGCCATCGCGAGGGGCGAACGAGCTGTTACTTCGCACGTCGTGGTGATGGGATGAGCACGGACGGTGGCGAGATCGGGCGGAAGAGGTTTGTCAGTTTGGTCGGTTGATCGGTCGATCGGACCGAGGGTCGATGATGGGTGCGAAGCGTCGGACGGGCATCGATCAAATGGTCGCCGAGTCGAGCAACAGATGTTCCAAAAGATTCCGAGCTTCCCGCGTCGATGAGGCTCTTCGAAGAGACCCGATGTGACAGCGAGTGATTGCACTCGAGCGATCGGTCGACGTTGACGACGCGAGTGAACGATGTGGGGGTGGCGGAGGTGATCGTCACCGGTCTACAGTGGTGTTCGAGGTGCGGCGATATTGGTCGAGTGACATTTGCATCGATTCGAGACCTGGGCAAGGGTGAGCGACTCCTCGATGGTGTTGACGAGGAAGTCGCATTGTGATCGCAGAGTATGGTCCTACAAGTCACAGAGCGGTTCGGTGCGAAGCTCGGATGCCAGCGAGTCGGCCAACGCGCGATCTCAACTAGAGTGATGAGCAGCATAGACAAACATGAGGTGAGCGGATGGGTGTGAGCTGGAAAGTATCTGAGTGAAGTACTCACCACACGCATCGGTCGAGTGGCGAGAGGGCGAACGGGGCGATCGAGGCGATTGGGTGACCGAACACGTGTCCGACCGAGTACGCTCGAGCGATGCATCGACGTAAGCTAGCACGCTGCTGAAAGTGACCGCGCCCTTTCAGATCAACCTGTTCAGCGTATCTTGCTGAAGATGACGATGTTGGAGTCGTTGATAGTCATGTCGTGCGACGTCGCACCGTGCCCGAATCAGTCGGGTTGAGGTGACACGTCGAGCTGTAGTTGGGAGAGATCGAGGTGCATCTTGCTGATTGCATGGCGCATGTGAACGATGCGAAAGCATGTGACGTCGAGTTGTGGCGGGCGTGGTGCGATCGGTGCCGAGTCCGAGTCGAGTCAAGTGGTGCGAGGGAGTAGTGAGTACTAGTGAGTGGGGAGAGGAAAGGGAGCGTTGGTGCGCGGGAACGTGAAGTCGAGCCAATCAGCTAATCAAGCGCGCCAGATCCCAAAGCCATGTACCTACAATCACTGTTTTTGACTGTATTGCGGCCCTGCGGTGAATGCACCGCTGCCTCTCGGATCGTCGTCCCAATGAGACGTCAGGAACGAACATTTCTGCATTTTCGGGACCATTAAAATCGAGCTACAGCCCGTGTACGATTTTTGTCGAGTTTCTCCGAGATGCTGAACAGTTTGTGTAGTATTCACAGACGAGAGACATTTCTCCTACAGAGCCGGCAAGAAGATACCGCTTCGATCTGACCTGCACACAAACCAAGTCTACCGCACCACGCGGCGCCGCCAGCCCGACGATCTCCGACGATCTCCGACGATCTCCGACGATCTCCGACGATCTCCGAATGGGAATCTCGTTTCGGATCCGATCTCGGTTCAGCGCTCTGGGCTCAGCGTTACTCGGTGCACGGAATTTCACGCTGCACTGCCAATTCATGGTGCACCGGAGTTTCATGCTGCACTGCGACTTCGACCCCGTGTCGGCTTCCGGCGTCGAATAAGTCGATTTCATCAGTGCACGGGAAATTCCCCCTGCACTGCCACTTTTCACTTCCATTGGGGGTTTTGTTCGACGTCTGAATGCAAAACGTAGCTCGGAAAGTCGGTGAAGGTGGTTTCTCGAGATGGTGAGGAGTCACGTGACCGTAAACTCAGCCAGACTCTGCCAGACAGTGCCAGACTCGGCCCCATCGAGCCTTGCAACCGGCGCGTCCGCCGGGGCCTGCCGGGGCCTGCCGGGGCCTGCCGGGGCGCTCTTCACCTCCAGCCGTCCACTTGGGGCCTCGTCACCTCCAACGTCTCGCTCTGTATAATGGCTTCTTCTCATGAAGCGACGCCAACTGTTTCCACCAAGTCTCGGCCACCGACGCCCACCCAACTCCTCGCTACTTGCGCTCCATCCAGCTGGTTTCTCCCGCCACCGCACCACGATGGAGCGTGTCACTCAACTGCCGCGCGCGTTCAAGCCGATGCTGGGACGACCACCTACGATTGCGTCGCACGGCTGGGAGGATTGAAATGGGACTCACCCGCGTCACCTGGCGTCAGGGTTCTCAGCTCGTTCTTCGATTTACTCGAGCTACACCCGTCATTGCTCGACCTGTTCTGCGAGAAGTTGGCCGCCTTCAGCACCGCTTGTCGCAGCGGCTTGCCTCGGAAGGGCGAAGGAAGCGTCCAAATTTCGTTCGTAGGCCTCTTCTATGGAGGTCTAGGATCTGCAACGACGGAGCTACTCAATCATCATGCCACGATCATCGAGGCCGTCGGGACTTCTTCCGCTTCCGCATCGGCCCCCGCGACGAGACCCCGGTACTCGATTCGGTTGGACGAACCTGAACGTGCTCTCCGCACGCAGGGCGATGCTGTGGTTTATATTCAAGGTGGGACTGGCAACGTTGTTTCAAGTATCTCGATCGAATACCAACGGGACAACGTACATCATAGCCTGGCGAAGGTACGCCAGGACGGCGCCCTCTCGCATATTCCCATACTCGATCACGAGGACCCAGTGGCCCTTCAGGATTTGGAGGAAGAAAAGTCGAGGGGTGCAGATGCTGTGGCGACCAAGGTGAGCCATGCATCTTTCAGGCTTGGTGGACATACGCTTTCTCGATCCGGCCTCGATAATTGTGGCTCAATGTTTACTCCTTTCTCATTCTTCATGCTCGTGAAGGCCATCATCCAGTGCGTCTCCAGCGATAGTCGATTCTTTTTGTTGTACTCGGTTCCGTTCTTCCAGATCGGTGAACTGGGTACGTCGCATCTTTGAACTCACCGGCCCTGTCGAAACCTTCCGGGTCCCACTGACGCATGCGATCATGCGGCCTTGGTTTGGCCATTCGCCCCTCACCCACAGTCCAGCACCGGTCGACGCATCCTGCAACGGCAAGGGATCCCGTAGCGTCGACCTCGGCGTCATCGGCCTCCATCTCGGCTGCGACCGCCTACTCTCCGGCACCTTCCACCAGAGCCAGTTACAGCTTGCTTCTACAAGAGCTGACCCGATGGGTGGAGCCCTCTCCGACTACCTTGAACTCAGAGGCGGCCGAAACACTTGGCACCGATCTTCCACAACGGTCACTCATCGTGTCCTTTATCGCCCTGGCTTTCACAGCCGTGATCGAAGTCCCCCCACCCGACCAAGCTGTCGTCGATGCGCTGCTCGATGCCCGACCCCAACCTCCGAAACGACCTCAACCTCGCCCCAGACCGGACTCGAGCCGCGACGATGATCCCTCCCCGCGGGTCCGAAAAACCCAGAAGACTTTGGCCGACGCCACGAGTGCTCGTTTTTCGAGGCGACTGGCAGGCCAACCACCGCTAGCTCACGCCAAGGATTCGAATCGACCCATCACCCCGCCCGTCTCCTTGGCGCTGCAATCCAATCTCTCATCCGACCCATTGACGCATGTGACTCGCATCTTTTCCTCCCCTCCAGCATCGACAGCTTGGAGTCCTACAATATCGCCACCCTCTGGTTCGTGCCAGCTATCGAAACCGATCACCATCGTTCAAGATCGCGGATTTCTGATCAAGGCCAGCTTGTCGAACGCGCACTGGTCTATGATAGTACGTCACGTGCTCTGCCCTGCTGCTTTCGTTCTAGCGCCTGTAGCCCAGCTCACCGAAAGGGTCATTTACTTCGTGCCCTTGCGCAGTCGTACACGGGTACGAGCCGCGTGAATCTAGTCGAGATCGGCTTTGATATCGTCTGTTCGGTTCCTTCCGACTCGCCCCTTGCGTCCCGACTGTCGTCGAACCCCTCCCCAGCGAGTGATTTCATCCAGGGTCTCCATTTGTCCGATGCTGTTCTGCGGTGGTTGTCCGAAGATCCCCGGGAAGAGCTCGAGGACGATCGGATCCCGCTGGAATTCTCTGATCGGTTCGAGACGACGGCGGATCTTCGTCTGGAGGAGCAGATCGCGTCGGGAAGTACTGCCGGCGGGTGGCTTGCGAACGTGGTGCGAGTCAACCGACCGTTGTCCTCATCGGCCAAAGCCGAGGTGCCCCTTGATGACCACCCTGCTCCGAACACGAGGTACTTTCTCAAGCTCGTGACATGTAATTTTGTCGGCTCGGTCATCCGCGAGACGCTGTTCTACCAGCACGTCTTCCCGCACCTTCCCGACCGTCTTCGAAAACATGTACCGCAATATCATGGCACGTACCGAAGGACCAACGGCAACGGATACGCCATGGTGTTTGAGCATGCGGGAGCAATGATGAGCGATCACGACTTTTACGGATCGCCCTCCCGATTGTGGTAAGTTCCTACAAAGGCGGCGCATTGAATGCAGCGGTGTTGCAAGCCAGTCACGACGAGGCTCGCACAAAGTCCTGACCTCCTGATTTTTTTTTTTTTTTCTTTTTGTTCTACTCGAGGCTGCAGGGAGGTCGAGGCGGTTTTCAGGGAACTAGGTATCATCCATAATGACGTCAGCCCCGCGAACGTACTGATCCGATCCAACGATCAAAGTTTTTGCTTCGTTGATTGGGGACGATCCTATCTCAAACTACTCAAACGCCGACTGTGAATCTTTTTCACTCTCCCTCCTCTTTCTGACGGTCTCCTCTTCTATAGTGATATTTAATCATTTCGTAAACACTTTCCCTCCAAGTTCATCCGCAATCAATGCGCATCGCTCGTCATCCCATTCATCTCATCTCGTCAACGTCGTAGTTGGACTTTTGTGAGCACTCCGAGCTCGATCGATCGATTTAGAACCAACGCGTGCGCAGAGTTTATCCTCGATTTACCTCCCTTGACGCAAGTTTCATTTCGTGCACCACTGATGTGCTATAGGCATCAAAGCAATATGAACGCGTTTTCGTGAGCTTTGATGAACTACTTATAGAAAAAAAAACCGAGGCAGCAAAGTCAGTTCCGATGAAATAGAGTCAGGGCATGGTGTGGTGTCAAGGCCCCCCCCCCCCCACCTCTCGAATGCCAAAAGGTGCTCGGACGCGCGCTCGGGAGGATCTGACATTGGTATATGGAAAGTGTCCATCTGTACAGGGAGGAACGAACGTAATTACATCACACAAAAGCAGTACCGAACAATCGAGACACGCTGAACAAAAAGTAAGAAGAAGCTCAAACGTTGACACGAAGAGAGATAAAGGGAAGACGTGATCTCACTCGAGCACTGCGATGCCTCGGAGGTGTCGCAGCACACACTGCCGGTAATGCCAACGCAGCAGGTCCTCATGGGGGAGTTCGGTATCATCTTGGATGTTGAACCGTTCACGCGTGATGACGTAGCCATGGGGCGACTCGCCGAGGGGGGTTTTGATCGTGGGGTCGAAACAGTGGACGACGAATTCTCCGTCCTGGGGGCGTTGAGTAAATCAGAGACGGGCGACAGTGCTTTACTGCGAGTTGAAAACGAGACGATTGAGGGAGATTGGATACTGACCCCCAAAGGATAAATGGACCACGCGTAATGTGCGAACATGGTGTAGAAGCACAGGTTGAGAAGCAAGCCGGCGGATAGCTCGTAGCGACCACTGACGCCCAACTTGTCCCAGATCTGTAGGGTCATAGCTCAGGTCAGGGCGGGTCTTGCGAGTCTGGTGAAAAAAAAAAAATTAAAAAATTACGTCGTGTCGACTGGGAGGAACGATGTGTACAGGCCAGCAGTAGGTGGCGCTGGTGCAGTCGGTCACGACGCAGACTGAGCCGTCACGTTCGGTAACGGCGTCGCGAAACCAATCCTGTTGAACCAAGCAAAACGTTGGGAGTTACCTCAAAGTCAAAGATTCGTTCACGAGTCACACGCCTCGAAGGTGTGAGTACTAGCCATCTCTTCTTCTTCCGAGGCGGGTGGGGAATCGCAGAGCGTGTTGTTGTCGTTGTCATCTATCGCCATGAAGCACCTCGGCAACTCTCCCTTTTCTTCTCCGACGGGTCCGACTGTCGGGGTGAAAAACTGGACATCCTCTATGGGGAAAGCGATGTATGTCTAGCTGACCGGGATTGGACGGGTGTAAGCTGTGCCGACGACCCGACTCGGCCAATGCAATGGACTGAACCTTGAGCAGGAACGAAGGTGAAGTTCCCTTCTCGCAATGGCGAGTCCGTATCGAGAGGCTCTCCGGCCTCGTCACCGAGATAGCCGGCTTGTTCGACACCTTCTTGAACGACATGGTGCACATAGTCCCAATCGTACGTGTCTTCGGACTGGGCGAGCCAATCGAGGGCGATCGTGGCGAGGGCGACGCGCTCCGCTTCGTCGTCGAGGACGACGACGGCGGTGACGGTGAGCAAGGGCGAGTTGGGCCATCCGTTCAGGAACATGCTGTTGGTGCCACGCAGTAGTTTCTTGGCGGTCGCTGTCATGTTGGCCAGCCGTGGGTGAGCCTGTCTGACCGAGTCACCTCGGGAGGTGGATGAAGGAGCTCAGAAGGTGGGGGAGGGCACGCGCCTCGTGACGTCATTGGAACGCGCCGTGGTACATAGACCCTGAATCTGCAACACGCCTGGAACTGGATCTCACACGTCCTTGGAGAACGTGCAAAGAACTGCTTCCCCAACAGGGTACTTTTTCGTAAAAATGTCTCATGTCAAAAACAAAAAAAAAAAGTCTGCACTGCCCACGCAAGGGCTCATCCAACCAACAGCATCGTTCCCGTCTCTTGCTAGTACCAACTCCAAGCTCCGTCCCTATAGAAAGAACCACTCTCGCAACCATCTACACCACGACCGCCTCAACGACCTCCATCAACCCATCAACCTCCTCCATCCTCTCCCTCTTGAGCCCAACCATCTCCACCGACGCACTCCTCTCCTCTCCTCCTCCCCTCCCCCACCCCCACCCCCACTTCCCCCAACGATCCACGCCAGTTTTGATAGTGGTCGCACGGACATTTCCTTCCATCCGATCAGGGTATCTTGAACTTTTCCCAATGGGTGCGGTGCGGTATTGGTGGATGGGGGTGAGAGTGCAAGGACCCAAATCGCATCGTATCCACCAGCTGTAGCGACGCCCGGATTCCATGCCACATCATCAGCAATCAAACACCCCTTGACCAACTTTCCCCGGGGATGAATTCTCAACTCACCCCCTGGTACGCCCGCGCCTACCACACCGGGTAATTCGGATACGGCGTCGAGCAACTTGGTTTGTTCGGCCGGTTCGATCGGCACCTTTGAGCGCTCTCCCATTTCGCGCATCAGGGCTCGGATCGACTACAAGACGCAAAGAGACACAGATGCTATCAGTACCCAACGTTAAGACTTACCCCCGCTCTCAGCTCGAAGGGAACGTACCAAGATGTGCTGCGAAGCGATCTTGAACCCGCTCGACTCGCTCCACTATCGCAGACGAGCCAACAGCAACCACCCGAAAATCAGCACGCCACCACCGCCCACCGGCCCTACACGCGATCCCAAATGATCCAAACTGAACTGCTCACCTCCCTACTCGACATCGTGGAGAACCTCTGAACCTGCTCGTCGTAAAATTCAGGATTCTCCTTTGCTCCGCGACCGAGTTTCGCAAGGATTTCAGCAAAGTCGTTATTGGCCTGATGCAATTCGGACCAGATGCGATCGGCTTTTTTTTTTTTTTTTGAAACAAAGATCGAGAAAGAAAAAAATATGACTCGGGGGTCAGCACACGCACCGCACACGGCAGAAAAGAGGTCCCCCCCATGACCGCACTTTGGAAGGTTCGCGATCTACTAACCCTGTTCTTTCTCTGCCTTTTTCCACGCCAACACCTTGCCCACCATCGAAGGCGTATGTGATCCCGCATCGACATCAGCCAACAACAAGGTCATGGCTGGTGGGAGAGCGAACGGAGCCACGTTCGGTGCTGTTCGGTTATTCGTCCATGCGGGATTGAGCAGGGGCGAAAGTTGGTTGAGCAACGCTTTAGGTGTGAGCTGTGAGCAGTGTGAAGAATGCACGTCTCATCAGCGTGAACCCGCCTACTCGACCTGCACACACACACACACACACACACCCTCCCCTCCACGACGTACCGTCTTTCGCTCCTGAAGACTCTGACCTAGACAAACGCTTTCGAACCGACGATAAACCTGACTTCCCCAAACGGCAGCGGAGACGTCGAAGCCACTTCCGACCTTTCCCTGCGCGAGCGAATGCACGTACTGCGCCAGATTATGAATCAAGCCCAACGTGCCCTGATCGACCCAGAGTTGGGAATTCGCGATCAGGTTCTTGGGGAATTTGATCGGGTAGGAAGGGGAAGTCGATAACGTGCTCGGCGCGTTCGGAGCTTGGGCCGAAGGGTTCGGAGCAGCAGCAGGAAGAGGGGAAGAGAGGTTCGATGCTCTCGCGTCGAGGTGGAGCAACAAGGCAGCGACGAGGGAGGTGGTCATGGCCGCGGAGGAGCCTAGGCCGGTCTTGTGCACGTCGGCGATCGCGCAGCCGAGATGGGCAAACATTTTCTTCGGAGACGGGGAGCGTTCGGTCGAGTGCTGTGGGGGTCGTTCACTTTCAGCGCTGGGTGACGACCTTTACTCCGTAGCGTACTCACTGCACGCTGCTGGGAGTAAAAGTCGTTGGATCCGACGATGAGGATGTGCAGATCGGAGACGGCGAGCGAGTGGCCGAGCGAAGGGAACAGGGCCGAGGCGAGCGAGATCGTCGACTGGATCGAGAGGTGCACGAAAGCATTGCAAGAGGCGTTGTTCCTGTGGGGGTAGGGCACGTCAGATGGAGGGTGCACGGTTCGATAAAAGGGGATCGTTTACTCGGGGGTATGTGTGCACTCACGGGTCAGCTCGTACTGTCCACGACGGGTCCTTCTCGTCGGCGTCGGCGTCGGTGCCGGTGTCGGCGTGCTCGGCCCTCGCGACGTCGTAGACCCATCTCGCTCCAACGAACTGAGGCGAGTCGACGGTGATCTTGAACGTCAAAGGATCGGTTCGTTCTCGTACGAGATCGCGTACGACGGTGTAGAACCTCGACGGGGTCGACAGCACAAAGCCGTGGTGCTGACGAGCGAGGACGAGGTAGCCTCCGGCGAGCAGGACCTTGCCCGAGCACGACACGATCGTCGGTGCCGACAGGTTCGAGGTAGAGCTCATCATCGGCGGGGGGTGAGACGGTTGAGGGAGAGAGACAAGTGCGGGTGCGCGTGTGTGTGTTGGATGAGCCGCGGGGTGCCCCAAGTGGCGCCGAGTGGGTCCGAGCGCGAGTGGGCGCCAAGTGTGTGAGTGCGAGCGGGCGCGTGATCACCGCGCGTGATCCGTCTTCAAAATACGCCCAAGCGCACAGGCGGTAATAATGGAATAATTGGCCCCGGGCTAATCGGATCATGGCCCAGGGCTATTAAGGCTAACAATCGCTCCCTGGCGACGAGCGGCGGCGCGTGCTCGTGCTCGTGCTCGTGCTCGTGCTCGCACACCACACGCGTGCAGATTGGTGCTCACCGCCTGACTGCCTGCCGCCCGCCCGCTGCTTTCCTCTCAGTCAAGATCGTTCTTCCGCCCTACGTCGTGTCAACTGGTGAGTCCGTCTCTGCTCTGGTGTGTCAGCTGGCCGACTCGGGAGTGTGCTGATCGCCGCGGACGAACTCGGATCCGCAGTGTCGGGGTGAGCGTGTACGACGCATGACGGCGT